CATTTTATAAGTTCTATGGAGTACTTCAGAAACATTATAATTTAATGGTTTGACAAGTGCGTCTTTTTATGATGTAAAACCATTTACAAAAGCTTGTTAATTATTTGAAATTTTTTTCAGGACTGGCGAACCATTTTAATAATTTCATAGGTTTTAATATAAAATCGATCGCGTCTTCTTTGCATCCTTTTAAGCTGATACTCGTTAATATTGATTGGTCTTGCCATTGCAGTGACAAACAATAAGTGATGCGATGATTTGAGCGTTTTCACCTTGTTGTATGTGTTGTTACTGATCGTAAGTGTAAAAATATTTAAAAAATTTAAAGAATAAATAAATAAATGAATAAATGCTTAAATAGACTAATATTTTTATACCTAATCAAGTAGTCTAGTCAAGCGTAGAGCTGTGTTAACATAATCAGTTATTTACTTTATTAAAATAAAGCTTTTAAACCTCTTAGATCTGCCACTGGTGTCAATAACCAAAAAAATTTTTCCTTTTATGATTACAAAAATATATTAAATAAAAAACATTACATATATTTTTTTATATGTATTTAAGAGGGAAATTATTTGAAAATAATAAAAGCACTGGTATTATTAACATAAAAAAAAATACTTATACGAACACAAATGTTACTTTCTACCTGTTAGTTAGGGAAAAAGCGCGACCGCAGCTTCCCCACATTCAGAAATAAGACACTCGGGACACCCTTTTTTAGGGTCACCGCAGGAGTCAATCCAAACTCAATGATCTCGTCCTGGGAGCACCGCCTTCTTGATCACGGTTTCTCCTGTGCCAAAGGTTTGTATTCTTGTGATTGTAATTTTCATTACAAATAAAAATGGTTTATTGTTTGTGGTGTTTTATTTGCATTTATAAATTTTTGTAAAGTTGAATTTTAATTGAATACACTGCCAAACTTGTACATGTTTTGCATTGCTAGCAAGTTGCAAAATCTTGCGAATCAATAAAAACATTTATTTTTCTCGTCTGGCAAGTAATTTTAAAATTACTAATTAATTGAAATTCAAACCAAGCCGCACCTCATTTCTTTGTAAATCCTTTCTTTTTGAAACTGTTACTCCATATAAATGTATCAGTATTGATTCTATATTAAAAAACTTATTTTATTTTAACCTATATTATTATAAAAAGACACAATGTTAAATAAAGTAAACAAAACAATTTATGAAATCGACTTCGAACAAAATAACTTCTTTATTTAACTTAACGTAATGGCGATGAAATTCAGTAAACAAGGACACATGAATGTATATTTAAAAAAATTATAAATTGACTGAAATTAAAGCAAGTTATATTGGTATCTAAAAATGTTTTCACTAGTTTTTCATTGAAAAAATATCTTGTGAAGAAAATAACGACATTAAAACCATCTCAACAAAGTAACACGACAAATATAAACTCACCAGTCTAGCAATAACCAGTCATCGAAATCAAAGATCATTCAACAGGTTATCATTCCAATAATAAGTCAACCACGCAATCCTAAGTCGTACATGCAAAAAACATGCATCCTAATCTATTTGAAGGTTCGACCTTTAAAAAATCAACATTCACGTTAAATGGACGAAGAAACGCGCAAACGCAGATTCCCACTATCAGAAATTATGCACACGAGTTACCCACATTTGGAACAATCGCCGAAGTCAAACTAGCCCCAGTACAATGGTTGGCTCTCTGGAAGCACCGCCTTTTTGATCACGGTATGTTCTAAGCCACGTTAGTATGGGTTAGGCTTTACCATTTATTTATATATGCTTGTGATAAGTTACTTAATGGTGCTTTTGTGAAGGCCATGGTTTTAAATTATTTTTCAGTCGTTTATCTATCATAATTCTTAAAAATTTTATATATTATTTTATATTATATTTTAATGTAAACTATTGACATTTTATTTTTCAATAAATTATCCCTAACCAGTTTCGACGAGCAAAATGTTATTCCTTTTCTAGCATTCTAGCGATCAAACTGAATATATGATTGGACGCCTGCGATCTATATAGAAATTAATTATATAGGCAGTTACATGAAAAAATTATAAGCAAAATGGGGGATCGCATGAATTAAATTAAAAAGTGAATAAGTGTCTTCGATTTCGGCATTGGTCTAAACATTGAGCTTGTGCTATTGTGTTCGTGACAATTGCTGATTTGCATATATTTTTAAGTAAATTTTCAACATATAATTTAATTCAAATTATAAAATATTATGAATCAATCGCTCTACTGAAGAACTATATCAATATATTTTACAGCCAGTGAGGCAATTTGTAAGAATGTAAGAGAACATTTCTTATTAATTACTATTTATGATGATATAACAATACAATAAATTAAGTTTTAACTCAATTTGGTGTACTTTACGGTATACCACATTGCAAAAATGTGTAATAGCTTTCTCTCTATATATTTTTGTTTTTATCAAACAGAAATTTTCATCTAATTGCTTAGAACAAATTTCCTGCTCAAAAAATTAACTTTAACACTTGTTTAGAATCGTTTTTAAGATGAAGAAATTCTATGTAACGACATTACACATCTATTTTTTAACCTCTTTCTTATTGTTAGTAGTGAAAATGCAATTTAATTTAATTTTATAAAAAATCAGACTTAACCTGTTGTTACTTAATCGCTAATTGTTATACAATAAATTCCAAACACGCAATAAGTTTTTGTGATTGTAAAACGTTGGTTTAAAACATTCCCATCTATTCAGATTGCCATAGCTTCATCTTTCGAGACGTAATGATTTTGACAAATAAAGACAACAATGACTTTAACAACAAATTTTACTTTATACTTGGTAATTAGGGAAAAGCGCGAACGCAGTTCCCCACTATCAGAAATTATGCACCCGAGTTACCCACATGTGGGGTAATCGCAGAAGTCAATTCAACCTCAGTGCAATGGCTGAATCTCGTGCTGGGAGAACCGCCTTCATGATCGCGGTATCTCCTGTGCCAGGTAAGTTTGGCTTTCGGTTGTCGTCATTGTTGTTATAAGCTGAAGAATGTTTACTGATAATGGTGTTTATTTTATATTACATCTACAAACTTTTTAAAACAATGCCCTCTTTGTTTAAATAATTTATTCATTTAGCTACCATTTTATGTTGTCAACAAATTGCAAAAACTTGCTAATCTAATCTAATCTTTAGAAAAAAAAATATTTTGCAACTGGCGAATTAATTTGAATATTTTTCTTTTGTTCATTAAGCTGCTGGCCATTAATGCTTGCTCTCAGTAAGCAGCTTACTAAGTTGCTTTTTCAGCTGCTTAGTAAGTTACCTCCTTTAATTCGAGTAATGTGAAAGCCTTTTGATAGTGTTTTCTTTTTTTTCACTGTTGTTACTCAAGGTTATAACCATTGTATGTGTGTGGATTGAAAAAAAATAATTTTACACTCAAATTTGTATTTGATGTTTTTATTTTAAAATTTTCAACTAATTAGATATTCAAAAACAGCAACAACGTGTACATTTCATTTGATTACGCTTGAACAAACGGATCACAAGCATTGTATGTGATGAGAGTGAACCTCATCGTATTAAAAAAATGTTTAAGATACATACACTCCAATGGGAATCAACAACATACAAACACCATAAAGCATATGAATACGAGCTAAACGACGTATCACACACACAGCCTACGATGGCGGGCATCTTTTATCATATTCGAACCTGGTCACTGCACGCACTGCCAAACAGGACCAAGCTCTTTCAACCGCTGCCCAAAAATCGAACCAAGTCACATGACCAGGCGCAATTACATCATTGCTCTACCTAACACTAAGGCCTAAAGTTGAATGCTTTTTTTATTTTCACAGTTTTGTTGTGAGAAGAAAATGTGGTACAAATGAAAGTAAAATGCCCCATAATTTCTTTTATACAATAAAACCAAGAAGTGTGAAACGCAAATGTCATAATCGTGGTAGATTTTGCTATTCAAGATTAAAAATTTTGACAAAAAATTTTCAAAAAACTTATTAAAATATCTTAAAACTTTGAATAACAATTAGGAAGATTGTGAAACAAAAAAAAACAAAGAATCTTCTTGATAATAAAGACATTATTTTATATTGTACGGAGATATCCGTACAATATGGAATGATAATGACATTACGTGGTGACCTAACGAATGCCTTTTCATCAACCGCTGGAAAACTAAAGAAATAAAACTTTAGTTAGTAGGAAGTTCAAACTTAGTAATGCGATTTGTGAAATATTCCAAAAAGCATTGTCGGAGCCGGTCGAAGTCTGGGATTTTTTCAGGAGTCGAAGTCTGAATTTTTTTTGAGAGGCCGTAGTTAGAATCCTTTTTCTTCCGATCCCAGCACCCACAGCAGGTAATTTAAGATTAATTTTACTTTGTTTTATATGCGAAAACCTAATTGAAACTAGTTAAAATGGCTAGGAACATAAAGTTTACTCAACAAATATTTTTTTGAACTGCTGCTGGGAGGGATTTTGAAAACTGAATAAATCATTTTAACACTGTTCAGTTGAACTTTGTTGCTTTATTTAATTACTGTAAATATACATTTGTTTTTTCTGTCGGGTTTTTTTTTGTAAAACCTCTAGCTCGTAAATCATTTAGGACAAATTTGGATTATATTCTTTATATTTTTATATTTACAATTGAATGTATATATGTTTATATTACATAATTATACCACTTAATAACAAAACATTAATATTAATAATAATTTCATTATGTAATTGATGCTAATGTTTCAAACACCAAATTATACACTAACTGCATATGTTTAACTTAGGGTCACAAATGTTTTACCACTAATGTTAAACATGAAAGAATGTGTTGGTAATAAGTAACAAAAAAACAATGATATAAAACTGCACACAATTAGTACATGTAATATGCATGCCAAGGTATGTAGAGATGAAATCGAATTTGTATTTACACTATTATCCCATTAAAAATGCGATGGACAAGGATTGTACCGCCTTGAACTTCACTGGCCAGCACTGAGATCTTGCATGCTGGTCATCCTCAGGCTTATTTCATTCCCATTTCTCGCCATTTCGTTAGCGTTTACCATATTGAGTTCGTTTTTAGGGGAGACGTATTTTCTTCTGCCGTCTTTTTTGTTGCAGCAGCAGAACAATCTCCACCCACAGCATATTTTCATCATAACTGGTCCATACACTCTCCTGTAGCTGAGGCGCACGCTCCTGATACGAACGCCGTATATGATTGGGTCACTTAAGTACGTCAACATCGGCAGGATGTCTAAGACGAAAAATTTCAATTTGAATAAAAATTCTGTGGCGTAGTTGGTGTTGATGGAGCTGATGATGAGGTAGGGCAGCCAGAAGAGGAGGAGAGCTCCTGCGAGAATCAAGGTGGTGAGGAACGCTTTGTAGTTGCTTTCTGACGAGGCTTCGTAGTGGCGCTGAGGTAGATGCTTCGTCAGTTGAAACTGAACTTGCTGTCCCGCCGAGAATTTTTTTTGTCGTTTTGGAAGTCCTATGAACTCTTTTTTGTTGAAAACTCTTTTGCTGTCGTTGCTACAAACTACTTCATTGGGTGGCTTGTCAGTATTGTCCACGTTCATTCGAAGTTGTTGTTGTTGTTGTTTTTGAAATGACGACGATGATGTCATTATTTTGCCTGAGTCAGAACTTTTGGTCGAAAATTTTGAGAGCATAAAGCTACGCTTCCTACATAGGACTACCTGTCAGTAAAACGAGTGAGTGGGTAGGTGGGATGAAGGAATGAGCGGGTGAGTGAAAAAACATCGTCCTATTCATCAACAGCATCATCAGCATTATAACTATAAGTTAGTTGTAAATAAATTATAAATTAATTATAAATTTATAAGTAACCACCTCGGCATATACTCTGGCGTAGAGAACAACGACAACGAGGACGAGCCCAGCCAGGAGACAGACACTGATCTCAACTGGTAGGTTGGTTCTGTCTTTGTACAGCGTGCAACCTGCATGTTATGGAAAAATGAATAATTTTTAATTTGTCATTAGAGACTAATATGTGAACGTATTGCAAACTGTTGAAATTACACTTAAAATAATAAATAATATTTTTAAGCAAAGCCAATCAGCTAAGATTGCATTATCAGTACGAGCAGCATCGCTAACACTAAAATTAAAAACATTCAGAATTCCATTACTCCAAACTACATGTCAACGCTGCAATAACTTTCCTTCCATTAAAAACCATTCACTATAGAACAGACTAACCCCACTTCACCACACCTCATCCTAATCATCATTATCATTACTTTTCCTGTCATCATTATCATTGTCCTCATTATCATCATCATTAAATCATTCATCATCACCATCGTCATTATTATCATCATCATTGTCCTCATCACCATCATCTTCTTTATTTTCATCATCATCGCCATCATCATCAGTTGATCGTTGTCAGTGTCATCACACAAATGCGGTATCATCAACATACTTACATCCTCTGCATCACCATTGCTTTCAATTTGTATGCAAAATTTGTAGCCAGCGTTTGAGCAACTTCTTCAGATCATCCGGGCTAGCTCCATGTCATTCCCCATATTTTAAGAAAGAGATGAAAAATTTAATCTGAGCATATGAAGTTATTGCCAGTTATCACACGTCCTTCTTCAGCTCTAACAGAAATAAAGACGTTTGGTGAGCATGGAGATGAAGGTAGGGATTTGTTTCTTTTTATTAAAGGCCACCTGTAAGGGTTCGTTCTTTAACTTTTATTATTAATTCAACTTCGCAACAACAAGAAGTACGTTGTAACAATTTCTCTATTACAACGTAAAATACCGTAAAATAAAAAAGAGTTCCGTTATATAATTTATGCAGGGGTACAAAATTTATGAGGCAAATGTGTTTTAAAGAGATAAATTTAGTAAGTCTTATAAGAACGAATATCAAACAACAAATTCAGGAACCTAAAAAAATGAATGTGACATGTTGAATGTCAATTAGAAAAGTTTAAAACAAACCAAACCTGGATGAAGAAAAGTTTTGACTTGCCAATCAAAGTTTTGCATTTATTTTCGCTTAAGGGCAAGAGAGGGTCTTCGAGATAGATCTTGTCGTCAACTCCATAGATAAAATCTTGCCCACCATGGCTCATCAGCACCATGACAAAGCAATCATATTTTGAATGGTTCTCCGAGGCAACTTTAATATTGAGATCATTTTTTTAATTGATTCCCTAGTGTATCTGAAATAACTTACAATTTGTTCGCATAGGACCGTTTTTAGCTTGCAAAGTTTTTGCAACATTTATCAAGTTTTTGCAACATAAAATGATATCTGAATGAAAAAATTATTTTAACAAAGAGGGCATTGTTTTAAAAAGTTTGTAGATGTTAATATAAAATAGACACCATTATCAGTAAACATTCTTCAGCATATAACGACAAATACAACAACGGAAAGTTTAAAATATTGACGCACCGGAGATACCGTGATCAAGAAGGCGGTTCTCCGCGGACGAGATTCAACCATTACACTGAGGTTGGATTGACTCTGCGATTACCCAAAAGTGGGTAAATCGGTGTCCAATTTCTGATAGTGGGAGACTGCGTTCGCGCTATTTCCCTAATCACCAATTAAAAAATAAAATTTGTTGTTAACGTCATTGTTGTCTTTTTTTGTCAAGATCATTACGTCTCGAATGATGATGTAGATATGACAATCTGAATAGATGGGAATGTTTTAAACCAACGTTTTACAATCACAAAACTTAATGCGTGTTTGGAATTTATTGTATAACAATTAGCGATTAGGTAATAACAGGTTAAGTTTAATTTTTTTATAAAATTAAATTAGAAATAGTACACTTTTTCCCTACTTACTGACCAAATTTCTTCTCAATAAGGTTTAAAATTTTTTTCTAAAGATTAGATTAGATTAGCAAGTTTTTGCAATTTGTTGACAACATAAAATGGTAGCTAAATGAATAAATTATTTAAACAAAGAGGGCATTGTTTTAAAAAGTTTGTAAATGTTAATATATAATAGACACCATTATCAGTAAACATTCTTCGGCTTATAACGACAAATACAACAACGGAAAGTTATAACGTTCGGCACAGGAGATACCGTGATCAAGAAGGCGGTTCTCCGCGGACGAGATTCAACCATTACACTGAGGTTGGATTGACTCTGCGATTACCCTAAAAGTGGGTAAATCGGTGGCCAATTTCTTCATAAATTTATTCGGTAGACTTAGTGTATCAGAAATAACTTGCTATTTGTTCGCATAGGACCGTTTTAGCTTGCAAGTTTTTGCAACATTTAGCAAGTTTTGCAACATAAAATGATATCTGAATGAAAAAATTATTTTAACAAAGAGGGCATTGTTTTAAAAAGTTTGTAGATGTTAATATAAAATAGACACCATTATCAGTAAACATTCTTCAGCATATAACGACAAATACAACAACGGAAAGTTATTAATTTTGGAGGCACCGGAGATACCGTGATCAAGAAGGCGGTTCTCCGCGGACGAGATTCAACCATTACACTGAGGTTGGATTGACTCTGCGATTATCCCAAAAGTGGGTAAATCGATGTCCAATTTCTGATAGTGGGAGACTGCGTTCGCGCTATTTCCCTAATCACCAATTAAAAAATAAAATTTGTTGTTAACGTCATTGTTGTCTTTTTTTGTCAAGATCATTACGTCTCGAATGATGATGTAGATATGACAATCTGAATAGATGGGAATGTTTTAAACCAACGTTTTACAATCACAAAACTTAATGCGTGTTTGGAATTTATTGTATAACAATTAGCGATTAGGTAATAACAGGTTAAGTTTAATTTTTTTATAAAATTAAATTAGAAATAGTACACTTTTTCACTACTTACTGACCAAATTGTATTACTAAAAATCAAATGCATAACAAAGGCGGTCATTTAAAATTAAACATTCTTCAGCATATAACGACAAATACAACAACGTAAAGTTATGAACGATCGGCACAGGAGATACCGTGATCAAGAAGGCGGTTCTCCGCGGACGAGATTCAACCATTACACTGAGGTTGGATTGACTGCGATTACCCAAAAGTGGGTAAATCGGTGTCCAATTTCTGATAGTGGGGAGACTGCGTTTGCGCTATTTCCCTAATCACCAATTAAAAAATAAAATTTGTTGTTAACGTCATTGTTGTCTTTTTTTGTCAAGATGATGTAGATATGACAATCATACGTCTCGAATGATGATGTAGATATGACAATCTGAATAGATGGGAATGTTTTAAACCAACGTTTTACAATCACAAAACTTATTGCGTGTTTGGAATTTATTGTATAACAATTAGCGATTAGGTAATAACAGGTTAAGTTTAATTTTTTATAAAATTAAATCAGAAATAGTACACTTTTTCCCTACTTACTGACCAAATTTCTTCTCAATAAGGAAGAGGTTAAAAAAAGATGTGTAAGATTAAGATTATTAAAAAAGATTATTTCATTATCTTANAACGATTCTAAACAAAAGTTAAAATTTATTTTT